TTGTTAAGACACATCTTCACTCTTGAGATGAGGCTGGCCTGAAACTCACTATGCAGCTCAGGTTTAGAATGTTATCTTAAGTAAGAAACAAACTTTACCTGCAATAGGGCATGTGTTAAAAAAAAAAAAGTACAAAGAACTATCTAGTATCTCTCTCTCTCTCTCTCTCTCTCTCTCTCTGTGTGTGTGTGTGTGTGTGTGTGTGTGTGTGTGTGTCTGCTGTATGCTCCATTTTGATTCTTCAGCCTTCTGTTGTGATAACTAGGGTGGTGACTTCATACCTGGGATAGAGAACCTTTGGAGGAGAGTGAGGATCAGATTTTATTTCAAGTTTTGGACATTTTATTGTTGAATTTTTAAAATAAAATATGCTAGCTAAGATTCCAGAGAAGAAATTGAACTGTGTGAGTCTTGAACTTAAAAAATGTCTGAGAAGACAGCTCGTTGGTTAAGAGTGCTTGCTGTACAACCATGAGGACCTGAGGTCCAGCTAAGAATCTGGACACATGCTTTTCACACTCTACAAGGCCAGTTCTGTAGGAGATGGAGGCAGGAGGTTGCTGGGACTAGCTATTTGCCTATGTAGAAAAAGGGAAGTTCAGGAAGAGATACTGACTCAAAGAATAAAGGCAGAAAGTGGCAGAAGAGGACATTCAATGCCCTCATCTAACAGATGTGAGCACAAAATATGCATAACACACACACACACACACACACACACACACACACACACACACAAACACACGGAGTCTGCCTCAGAAATATAGATGTGGCGATCATAGTATTTACAGCAAATGAACATTAAGAATAGCTGAGGAAAAAGGAAGGGGTTTAAGACAACTCAATACTTAAGCAGTCTACTGCAGGCAGCCCTAGTTGAAGAGAGTAAACAGCAAAGAAGATGGAGAACACATTAGAGGAACAGTGAAAACAGGTGAGAGTATGGCAATGTCTGAGGAGGAAAGAGTGAACAACCATAGCAAATTCTGATGAGAGGCAAGGCCATCACCAACCTGTTGAGTTCAGTGTCCAAGGACTGCTGGGGGCTCAAACACTCAGATGTGGGTAACAGGTAAAGGGGACTGAAGGGATACCTCTAGACGATATTTTTTCTTTCAAGCATGTGCCTTACTGCAGGGAAAGATGGTTTCTTACTAAAGAAAACATTCTAAGCCTGAGCTGCAAAGTGAGTTCCAGGCCAGCCTCATCTTAGCAGCGAAGATCTGTCTCAACAACAACAACAACAACACAAGTAAATAAATTCTACAACAAAGGAAAATTTACAGTAGGGGTTGTTGAGACAGCTAGATCTAAGATGGAATGTAATAAGTTTCTGATATTGCTGTATGATAAGAATTCCAAAAGATAGAAATAATACTGCTGGAGGCAAAGGAGCAAACTGAAAGAACAAACTTCTAAAGCAAAGGTGGAGTGCATGTCTGAGGAACACGTGGGAAATGAGCTTTGGAGAGAAGGATTTGTCCCCTCTGTAGTGGAAGGCATCAAGGAGATTGCACAGCACAGGCAGGCCTTCAGACTCAGAGGGGGAAGACCAGGGACTTCTTTGGGTCAGGCTGACCATGCACTATGGTCTTTCTTCATTAGCCTTGTTAAGTTTTTGGCTTTTGTGACATGAAAACTGAGGGCTCTTTTCTTGCTCCTTTTCCTTTTTCTGTCTTCTTTTCTCCTCTTCCTCCTTATCTTCTTGCTCCTTGTCATCCTCAGCTCCATGAGGTCTGCTTCTCATGGGTGGCCTTTTTATTTTGGTGTCCCAGTTCCTTTGTTGGTTTAGTCTGCATTCTGAAGCATTGTGTTGTATTCTAGATGAATAATCTAGTTGTCGATGCATATCGATTTTATTAATTTTGTTTTTTGTTACCTAAAGCCTACTTGTTTTTAGCTGTTTTTTTATGTCTTTACAAGAACACTCTTCTTATTTCACAAACTCTCTAATTTCTCCCAGTACAACTAAATATTTAATGTTTCCCCTTTGTACTTTGCATTACCTATTTCTCTTGGATAAGCAGTTCTGTTTGTTCATCTTGGCCTTCTTTATTTTCTTTCAGTGTCTGGTGACCTCAAGTCTAGCTGAGCACATCTGTGAACAAAAGCCCATGTTGACAATCACTGGTAGCTGGCTTGGGTAAGTTTCCTTTGCTATTAATAGTATTGCTTAAACAAGTAATCTTTTCAACAGAAGTCACAAGTGGATTCTGAGTAAACAAACCTACAGACATTTATTTTTATGGTGTATAGCTATATTAATTTAATTCTGAGGGATGTTTACCATGACCTGCTCAGTATCACGCACACATGCACACACATACACACACACCAGGGTACTATGAAAATATGTGATTGAGGTTTTAATATACTTACTCCAATCCATATATCCATATAGAGCTTACCCTGTCTCCTGTTTTATATCTAATTTGTCCTGTCTCTACTCTCCAGAGCAAGGTATCCTTCAGTTCTTAAAACTCTAGGCCTACTCATTTCCATTCTTCTCTTTGTTTCCTCTTCTGGGCAATCTACAGTATCTCCTTTCTCTCTTCATGTTCTGTAATGCAAACCTTTCAGACTTTAAAATCTGTCCACATTCTAACACTGTCAAAACAGCTTGCTGACTTGGGAAACCATTAGCTATTCAATTTCTTTTGGCATGTTTCTGATCAGAACTGTTCTGGCTTTGAGCCCTAAATTACCACTCTCTTCTCCTCCATGACCCTCCTCTTCATTTCCTTCTGTTGTTACAGGCAGAATAGACAGGCTGCTGCTGTCCCTCATGATGAGTGGGAACTACCAAACTATAAAGAGCATTGTTCATTCTTATTTTCATGCTATTTGTTGTAAAACTGAAAGTATGTTGTTGTGCTCAACCTTGACCAGCAAGGAAGACACAATTCAGGGGAGATCTTCTTCTAGCAGTTTAATCAGGATCCTTGAACAAGCTTCTTCTTCTAACTTTGGGGAAACGCCCGCACAAGCTTAAATCCCCTTGCGCTGACCAACCCTAGTGAGCCACGTGGACCCTGCAGATAGGCTGCTCTTATAGGAAAGCAAGCAAGCTGAACAGGCTTAGCCAAATAAGGACTTGTTTATGACAGAGAGTGCTCACCATCAGGAACGTGGAAGGCGGAAGCCAGCGCCATCTTTAAGGCGTGGCACTTCGCAGCTCTCTACAGTATGTGAATAATTTTTTCTTGCACACATGATTTTTAAGAGGTGAAGGTAAAACATCATAATTTATTATCATGATTATAAACATATTCTTCAAATATGTTGTCTATATATCATTTACCTAGAGGAGGGCAGAATTTTCAATGCTTTTTTCTCCTTTTTTTCTATATGTATTTTCATCTATTCCTTTGCCTACAATAAATTATCAGGCACTGCTCAGCTTGTAGATAAGAGGTTTTAATATCTTTCTTTTCTTTTTTTTTTTTGTTTTGCACATTTTTAAGTTTTATTTTTTGAGATTGCAATATAATTACATCATTTTCCCCTTCCTTTCCTCTTTCCTGTATGCATATACTTCTAAATAGTCTGTACTTGCATGTGTATGCTTTCAGGGCCAACAATTTCTTATTGATAACCAACTGGTGTGCTCTTCTCTGAGGAGGACTATTTCTCCTACTTTCAGAATTCTTGGGTTGCCTGTAGTTGTTTGTGTGGCTTGAGGTCTTGTGGTGTGTCCATCACTGCTCCACACACACACACACTTTCACATGTCTATTGTTATCTTTGTTTGTTTTAAAGCAATGAAGAATGGCTAAAGGAACAGCAAGGTAATTCTGTGGGTAAAGGTGCTTGCTGCCAAGCCTGACAACCCAAACTTAATCCCCAAGGCAAAGGACTCCGAAAAGTTGTCCTCCAACCTCCACATAAGCACAGTGTATACACACAAATGAATAAATGCGATTTTAAAAGAAAAATTCTTCAAGAAAGGAAATTACTAGCCAGGCAGTATGTCACAAGAGGCCAGCCTAGTCTACAGAGCAAGTTCAAGGACAGGGCTACACAGAAAACCCTGTCTTGAGGGGAGGGGGATTACTAAAAAGCTACTTAACTATGCATCTTGAGCTGTCAAATTACAAAGATGGTGGCTGCTTTCCTCTTTATGCAGGAACAAGTCACCTAACAAGCATGTGTGTTACCCATTATGAAAAGCAGCATGCATAGTCTCCTTCAGCTGGCAGGTTCCTTGGACAGAGTCCCTCTGTCCTGAAGACACTGTGAAGCTCCCCAGTGTAAGCAGCCCTGGACCTCCTGGTGGTCAGCATTCTCAGCTGAGTGCTGCCCCTACCTCAGCTGGTGTATAGTGGCTTCCTGATGGGGCAAAAACCAAGTCCACTCTAGGCTTCAATGCTGGCCATCTAGCTGGTGAGCACAAGGGGTACAGGGCAGCCTGGCAGCCTTCCTCAATGTTGTAAGCCCTGGGCTGCTGACCTTACACAGCACAGGGCATTTACTAGGCTTGCCTGTTTTGTGGTGCTCAGGTTGGAACTTAAGACCTATACATGCCAGGTAAGAACTCTCAACATAACTACATGCCCATCCTTAGCCATTATTGGTTATTTCCATATTCATCCCGGTGTGAGAGAGGAAGGCTCTTCTATTTCAGAGTACAATTCAAGGCTCAGACTCAACACCCTGCCCCAGGTCAAGGATGAAGTCCAGCAGAACCCAAGTGTCCAGATTCCAGTCTTTGTGTCCCTCTGCCAACCCTCCTGCTTCTGGTTTCGTAGTAGTGGGCTGCCTCTGTGACCTTGGCATAGCAGTCCTACAAGAAGTGGCTCTTCATGGAAACTTCTAGCCACTATCTGTTGGAATGCCCTATTCAGTACAATGTTCCACTTAAGGGCTTTTTCCTAAATTGGTTAATATCTTCTTTTTTGTCCCAACAAACCTTGACCTTCTCCACTTGCCTCCATCTCCAGCGCTGAGTATTAGCACACACAACCATGCCTAGTTATATGCAGTTCTAGGGATTGAAGCCAGGATTTTACTTCCTACATACTAGACAAGCAGTCTACCACCCGAGTTTCAGCCCTAGCCCCTAGTTATTAGATTCTGCCTGATCAATGTTCTTGGCCTTCATGTCTAAAATCCAAGTGTAACCAGGGCTACCTGGAGGCCTAGTTGCTATTCTTTACTTGAGTGTGGTCAGGGTTCCAAACACTTGTGAGAAACGTTCTCTGTCCAGGATTTGGCCATAGCGCAGGGTGACATAGAAGGTCTGCTTGCCACTATATTGCTGGATTCGTACCAACAGATCCTGGGCATATTCCTTGGATTCTGACAGGGGTATTATATCCGACACTACACAGTACGTATCCTGTCGCCGCCCCCAGAAGGGCAGGTGGGACACTGGAAGCATGGTACCTGACTCATTCACATACATGAAGCCCACCAGCCTCCTGCACAGCACGGCCAGGGTGAAGCAAGAGATCCCACACATAATGTGGAGTGAATTGAGGGTTACAAGGCCCTGTGAGTACCAGAACAAGCCTGGGGGTAGGGCTGCCACAGTCACAACTGTCTGCGCCAACTTCAGCCGAGATAGAAACCCAAATCTTTTGATGACTCTGAATCGGTAGATTGTGTGGAATTTCTCCATCTCTGTGCCTGGTGACTTCTTCTGCGAGGTGGGAGACTTGCTGGCCACCCACCTTTTGGAATCCCCCAGCCCAGTGCAGCACCACAGCCGGCGAAGAGGTCTCCCCCATGCGGCTGGCCCCTGAAATCTTAGCACAGCTCGAAGGAAGACAGACATAGTCAGGTCTCCTGCTATGAAAAGTAAAAGAGACTTGTCCCGGAAACTTGAAGGGTGCATGTGCAGGCGGTTAAAACAACAACAACAGCAACAACAACAACAACAACAAAACAATTTATTTTCAATAGGTTCTAAATAGACATAGCTGCATTTCAAATTCATTGTCATTTATTCCAATTTTTTCTAAAGGCACGAATAAGTAAAACATTCTTGGATTAGACACACAGTTTTAATTATTGTTTTTGCCTCCCAGGTGAAAAAACATATAATTTTTATTTATTTACTTATGTGTGTCTCTCTGTCTGAGTGCATCCTACATGTATGTAGGTGCTATGGTTTCAGAAAGGGATGTCAGATCACTTGGAGCAGGAGTTATAGGCAGCTATGAGCTGTTTGACATGGATTTTGGAAATTGAACTCAGGCCCTCTATAAGAGCAACAAGTGGTCTTAACCATGGAGCCATCACTCCAGCCCAACATACATGATTTTCAAGAAATCCAATATTGTATTATAACATGTTTCTACTGCATTCTACCTTTATTTCTGTCTTTCCTGGCTGCTACAGTGTAAGTAGGATGAATATTTACTTAATGTTTTGTTATACCTAGAAAATAGTTCTCATTATTTAGGGACTACAGGAGTAGGTATGTTTTCCTTATTTTTATTTTTTCTTTTATTTAAAATAGATATTTTTTCCTCACATAATACATCTGGTTTACCATTTACCTCACCTTTACTCTTTAAAGATTCTCCCCACCTTCTCTCCCATCTGGATCCACTACCTTTCTGTATCTAAGACATAGTATTAAAATATAACAAGATAAACTATAATAAGATAAAACACGACCTAACACATCAGAGTTGGACAAAATACACAAACAAGGAAAAGAAGCCAAGAGAAGGCACAAGAAACAGAGACCCACTTGTTTGCACACCCAGGAATCCCATAAAACACTAAACTGGAACCCACAACATAGCACAATACAAACCCATGCAGGTCCTGTGCTTCTGCTTCAGTCTGTGAGTTCAAATGATCCTTTTATTTTCTGTTTTTAATTTAAATTTGAAACACGGTTGTTTTACATGTCAATCCCAGTTCTCTCACCCTCCCATCCTCCCCTATCACCCCCATCAAACCCCAGCCCATCACTTTTCTGTTCCCCAGGGAGGGTGAGGCCTTCCATGGGGAGTCTTTAAAGTCTATCATATCATTTAGAGCAGGGCCTAGGCCCTGCCCATTGTGTCTAGGCTGAGGAAGTATTGCTCAGTGTGGGATGGGCTCTCAAAGTCCATTCCTATACTAGGGATAAATATTGGTCCATTACTAGAGGCCCCATAGACTGCCCAGTCCTCCTAACTAACACCCACATTCAGGGTGTCTGGGTTAGTCCAATGATGTCCTAGCTATCAGACTGGGATGCATGAGAGTTCCCCTTGTTCAGCTCAGCTGGGTTTCTCCAGCCTGGTTTTGACCCCTTTGCTCATCAATCTTCCCTCTCTGTAACTGGATTCCAGGAGTTTGGCTCAGTGTTTAGCTGTGGGTGTTTGTTTCTGCTTCTATCAGCTACTAGATGAAGGCTCTAGGATGGCATGTAAGGTAGTCATCAATCTCATTATCGTGGAAGGACATTTAAGGTAGCCTTTCCACTATTGCTTAGATTGTTAGTTGGGTTCATTCTTGTAGATCTCTGGGCATTTCCACTAGTGCCAGATTTCTCCTTAAATGTGTAATGGCTCCCTCTATTATGGTATCTCTTTTCTTGTTCTCCTCTATTCTTTCCCTGTCTCAATCTTCCTGCTCCCTCATGCCCACCTCTCCCCTCCTCTTCTCCCCTTCTCTTTCTCCTAACTCCCTCTGCCTCCCTCCATGCTCCCAAATTTGCTTGGGAGATCTTGTCCATTTCTCCTTCTCCAGGGGACCATGTATGTCTCTCTTAGGGTCCTGTTTGTTTCCTAACTTTTCTGGCGCCATGAATTATAGACTGGTGATCCTTTGCTGTATGTTTAAAATCCATATATGAGTGAGTACATACCATGTTTCTCTTTTTGTGACTGGCTTACCTCACTCAGGTTGGTTTCTTCAAGTTCCATTCATTTGCCTGCAAATTTCAAGATTCCATTTTTTTTTCCCACTGAATAGTAGTCTATTGTGTAAATGTACCACATCTTCTCCATCCATTATTCAGTTTTGGGACATCTAGATTGCTTCCAGTTTCTGGCTATTACAAATAATGCTGCTATGAACATAGTTGAACAGATGTCCTTATTGTATGAATGTGCATCATTTGGATATATGCTTAAGGGTGGAATTACTGGATCTTGAGGTAGACTAATTCCCATCTTCCTGAGGAACTGCCATACTGATTTCCAAAGTCACTGTACAAGTTTGCACTCCCATCAGCAGTGGGGAGTGTTCTCCTTTTTCCATATCCTCTCTAGCATAAACTGTCATTGGTGTTTTTGATTTTAGCCATTTTGACAGGAGTAAGATGGTATGTCAGAGTTGTTTTGATTTGCATTTCTCTGATGGCTAAGGATGTTGAGCAGTTTCTTAAGTGTCTTTCAGCCATTTTGGATTCTTCTACTGAGAATTCTCTTTTCAGTTCTGTACCCCACTTTTTAATAGGGTTATTTGGTGTTTTGTTGACTAGTTTGTTGAGTTCTTTGTATATTTTGGAGATCAGCCCACTGTTAGATGTAGGATTGATGAAGATCTTTTCCCAATTGGTGGACTGCCATTTTGTCTTGTTGACTGTGTCTTTTGCTTTACAGAAGCTTCTCAGTTTGAGGAGGTCCCATTTATTAATTGTCGATCTCAGTGGCTGTGCTACTGGAGTTTTATGTTCAGGAAGTGGTCTGTACCAATTTGTTCAAGGGTACCTCCCACCTTCTCTTCTAAGAGGTTCAGTGTGCCTGGATTTATGTTGAGGTATTTGATCCCTTTGGACTTGAGTTTTGTGCAAGCGATAGACATGGGTCTATCTGCAGTTTTCTACACACCATCATCCAGTTGTGTAAGAACCATTTTTTGAAGAAGCTTTCCTCCTTCCATGGTATACTTTTAGCTGTTTTGTCAAATATCAGGTGTTCGTAGGTGTGTAGGTTAATATTAGCATTTTCCATTGCATTCCATTTATCTACCTGTTTATTTTTGTGCCAATACCAAGTTGTTTTCAGGACTATAGCTCTATAGTAGAATGTGAAGTTAGGGATGTTGATGCCTCCAGAAGTTCCTTTATTGTACAGGGTTGTTTTGGCTATCCTGGGTCTTTTGTTTTTTCATATAAAGTTGAGAATTATTCTTTCAAGGTCAGTGAAGAATTGTGCTTTGATTTTGATGGGGATTGCACTGACTCTGGTGATTGCTTTTAGCATGATTGCCATTTTTACCATGTTTATCCTACCTCTGCAAGAGCGTGGGAGATCTTTCCATTTTCTGGTATCTTCTTTAATTTCTTTCTTTAAAGACACAAACTTCTTGCTATATAGGTCTTTCACTTGTTTGGTAAGCATTACTCCAAGATACTTTATGTTGTTTGTGGCTATTATAAAAGTTGCTGTTTCTTGATTTCTTTATCATTTGTATATATTAGGCCAACTGATTATTTTGAGTTAATCTTGTATCCTGCTAACTTGCTATAAGTTTTTATCAGCTGTAGGAATTTCCTGGTAGAGTTTTTCTGGTCACATATATAAACTATCCTATCACATGCAAATAGTGAAAGTTTGAATTCTTCCTTTCCAATTTGTATCCCCTTGTTCTTCTTTTGTTGTCTTGTTGCTCTAGCTAGAACTTCAAGTACAATATTGAAGAGATATGGAGAAAGTGGGCAGCCTTGTCTTGTTCCTGATTTTAGAGGAATCTCCTTAAGTTTCTCTCCATTCAGTTTGATGTTGGCTGTTGGCTTACTGTATATTGCTTTTATTATGTTTAGGTATGTTCCTGTTATTCCCGATCTCTCCAAGACCTTTATCATGAAAGGGTGTTGGATTTTGTCAAAGGCTTTTTCAGCATCTAGTGAGATTATCATGTGGTTTTTCTTATTCAGTTTATTTATATGGTAGATCACATTGAGAGATTTTCATATGTTGAACCATTTCCTGTGTCCCTGGGATAAAGCCTACTTCATCATGGTGGATGATTTCTCTGATGTGATGTTGGATTCAATTTGCCAGTATTTTATTGAGTATTTTTGCATCAATGTTCATGAGGGATATTGGCCTGTAGTTCTCTTTCTTATGTCTTTGTGTGGCTTGGGTACCAAGGTAATTGTTGCCTCATAAAAAAAGAGTTTGATAATGAACCTTCTGCTTCTATTGTGTGGAACAATTTGAGGAGTATTGGTATTAGCACTTCTTTGAATTTCTGGTAGAATTCTGCAGTGAAGCCATCTGGTCCTGGGCTTTTTGTGGTTGAAAGACTTTTGATAACTGCTTCTATTTCATTAGGGGTTATAGGTCTATTCAATTTGCTCGTCTGTTCTTGATTTAATTTTGGTAAGTGATAACTATCCAGAAATTTGTTCATTTCCTTTGAATTTTGTGGAGGATATGTTTTCAAAGTATGAACTGAAAATTCTCTGTATTTCCTTAGTGTCTGTTGTTATGTTCCCATTTTCATATCTGATTTTGCTGATTTGTATGTTCTCTCTCTCTCTGCTTTATGGTTAGTTTGGATAAAGGTTTTTCTATCTCATTGATTTTCTTCAAAAAACAACTCTTGGTTTCTACTTCATTGATTTCAGCCCTCAAATTGATTACTTCCTGGCATCTTTTCCTCCAGGGTGAGTTTTCTTCTTTTTGTTCTAAGGCTTTCAGTTGTGCTGTTAATTATCTAATGTGACTATCCTCTGTTTTCTTCATATGGGCACTTAGTGCAATGATCTTTCTTCGTAACACTGTTTTCAAAGTGTCCCATAAGTTTGGGTATGTTGTGTCTCACTCTCATTGAATTCTAGAAAATCTTTAATTTCATTATTTCTTTCTTGACCCAGGAATGGTGCAATTGTGCATTGTTCAGTGTCCTTGAATTTGTAGGAGTTCTGCACTTTGTGTTGTT